CCTGGCCTGTCCCCACTGTGCCCGACGGCACGGACAGCGCCGCCCCTAGCCGAACCGCGGGGCCCCCAGAGCGCAGCAGCACCCCCGAGGGCAGCGACGTCGCCGTGAGCCTCGGGGACGAGGGCCTGGAGCGGCCTCCCCGGACGCCCGCGGACAACCAGGCCCGCTGCTGCTACGTCTGTGGGTCGGCGCTGTCGCCAGCCTCACAGCATCAGATCCACGTGCAGAAGCAAGAGGCCCCCTCACAGGCGCCCTTCTTCCCCTTCCTTTGGCTGCACAGTCCCCCACCCGGCGCCCAGCCCATCACAGAAGCGGGCAGCACCCTCGTGTGTCCCTGCTGCTTCTCGTCCCTCACGCACCAGTGGCAGAGCTTCGAGTTGGCCAACGTGCCTGTCCTGCAGCGGCTCTACGTGGTTCCCCTGAACAGCCACGCCCCCGGCATGGCCTCTAAGGCCCGCAGACTCCCTAGAGAAGAGGGGCCCGCCCCCGCCGCCGGGCTGCTGCGGGAGGCCTGCTACCTCTGCGGGGAAGACTGTACGCGGGATGCCCGGTCAGTGCCCTCCCGCATCGTCAACGGCAACTCGGGGAGCTCCATGCACTTCCCCTTTCTCAGCCTTCTGCCTTGCCCACCCAACGCACGGCCCCCTAACAAGCGCTGTGAGGTTCGCAGCTGCCCCAAGTGCTACAGCGTCCTGGAGGACGTCTGGGCCCTGTACCGGGCATCACACAACCGTGAGCTCATCAGCTCGGTGCAAGGCTTCCTGGGCAGGTACCACCAAGCCTTCTCTGCTTCGGACCCTTCTCTGAGCGACCTGCCCGCTTCTGCGCAGGGAGGTCCGCCTGCCGTCTGTTACATCTGCGGGGCTGAGTTGGGGCCGGGCAAGGAGTTCCAGCTCAGCATGAACCCCGCTAGCCACCTGGGCGAGAAGGAGCCCTTCTTTCCTTTCCTCACCGTCTATCCGCCGGCCCCGCGGGCCAGGCCTGCAGACTCCACCGGCCTGGTGGCCACCTGTGTGCTCTGCTATCATGACTTGCTGGGTCAGTGGCTGCAGCATGAAGCCAGAGGTGCTCACCAGGGTGTCAGCGCCTGGTCCAGGCAGTACCAGGTGGACACATTCGTGTGCTTCTTCTGTCAGCAAGAGAAGAAACGGTGTCTGGGGCTGAAGTCGGTGAGGGTGGCCAGGCTGCCCTTGTTCCTGTATACCCTGAGAGCCAGCCATAGCCTGTTGGTGGATGACGGCCGGCAGCTGATCATTGGTGCCTGTGTGGATTGTGGGACCCTGGTTTGTGCAGGTCAGGGGCTCGTCAGCCAGGCCCCTGTGGGCTGGAGCTCCCCAGCAGCAGGAGTAACAAAGGTAAGCCTTACAGTAGCTTTCATCCCGTAGAGCATCTGTGTGGTCAGGAGAGAGGTGTTTTCTGTTCTTTGGCCGCAGGTCATTGATTCAGCCTGGTGGGTCCCAGCAGGAGGCTTTGCCTTGCTAGCTTGGCTGACCTTGGAGGCCTGGGGCAGGAGGTTCGAGGGTCTGGGGAGGGTGGCAGGGGTGGAAGAATAGCCACTGCTGGAATCAGCAGGCACGGGGCTGAAGCTGGGCGTGTTTGCTGCGAATCTATCAAATGGAGGAAGTTCAGGGCACGGCTGTTGTCCGCCCGATAACATTGGTAATTAGTGTAGCCACGCAGGTCACCCGGAGGTCCCGGTGGGAAGTCCCTCTCACCAGCTCCTGGCTAGCATGCTCCTCCCAAGATTCCCACCCAAGGGCCTTTCGTTTGAGTCTTCCTGGTGGCTTTACGAAGCAGATGGCAACAGATTCCAGACGTGTAGGCGTGGGGCACAGTCGCATGGGCCTCGGGATGGTGGCCTAGACAACCTTTGCAGTGGTTAGTCTCTTCTTTGGGAGTCAGCTGCGTGGAGCTGGCCGAGGCCTGGGGCCTGTTCTCAGGATGCAGCTGTCTGCCTGGTAGGAGACAGTCAGAGCACTGGGACATTGGGACCTAGCTTGGTAAGAACCAGGCCAGGGGCTGGCCAGGTGGCTCCCGGGAAGGGGTGACAGGCAGGCATATGTGAACTGCACTCACTGTCCTGCCCTTGGGCTGGGATCCTCTTCTGGGCCGAGGCCCGTGTGGCAGTCACTGGATAGGGCCCTTCAGAGAGGCACAGGGTGGGCAGGTGGGTCCAGTTCAGGAATGGCTGTTTGTATGTCAAGTGTCTTGGTCCTGCAATTGTGCGTGGGTGTGTGTGCGTGCATGTACGTGTGTATGTGTGTGTGTGTGATGCCTGGGCACACGGAGACAGACCTATGAGGCAATCCCTGTTCTGCCTGGGTATCCCTTTCCCAGGCTTACAACGCCCCTGCCTCACACAGTACCCTTATCTTTCCTTACCAGAGCTAGCCTTGGTCTTGAGTTGTCTTTAAGGCTTTGATGGCAAAGGGAATCACCTGCTTCTGGCATAAGACGCCGAGCCTTTCATTAGCCACAGGTGTGTGGCAGCCGAGGCTGAGGCTGTTGCTGAGACTTGGGAGGCACAGCTCCACAAGGCCTCAAGTGTGAGAAGAGCTTGGCTCTGGGGCAGGACAGGCCTGGTCCCGGCCTGCCCCTGTCTTCGCTGCAAGAGCTGTCTGCCAACAACTTCTTATCCTGGCTGGGCTCAGTCTCTTGGCTGAGAAGTAGGAATACGGGCCACATGGCTTGTAGGGACGTTTTGATAATTAAACTAATGGGGGGCATTTGAATGTCGCCAGGCCAAGCTCACTGTGTTGAGGCTGTTCCTGGCACCCCTCTGTTTGGGCAGAAGGCACAGGGCAGTTCTGAGTAAGACCACTGCCCCAAACCGGTGCCTCTTGGAAGTTTGCGGTGGCCCTGTGTGGGTGGTTGACGCTCGCTCGCTGGGGGCTTGGAGTTTTCTCTGAGGAGTGCCTACTTGATGCTAATTTGACCTCTGTACAGAAACCCAAGTAATCAAAAGATGCCTGGGTCCCAGGGCAGCAGGGTTGGGAAGTAAGAGCAGTCAGTGTGGTCCCCAGCCCCCTCCCGTGTCCACCCTGGGGGCTGAGCTGAGCATCCAGTCAACTTTTGCCCTATGGGTGGCCCTCACATTGTCCCATGAACCTTCTTACTCCCCACACTGAGACTCAGGTGAGTCCCATGACCCCCACAGCTGGCAGGTGGCTGGGGGTTCCAACCTGAGCTCAGGACCTCCCTGACCCCCTGGGCCCTGCTCCAGCAGTTTGCCTGAGACTCACTGGAACCCGGTAAAGTAGCAAAAAGTACAGAGACAAGAAGAACCCTAGAGCCCTGGAGGTTCGGGAGAGCCATCTGGAGATGAGGGACAGAAAGTACCAGATCTGCTAGCCTTTACCGGGAGTAAGAGCTTGTCCTCTGTGCTGAAGGGTTGTTTGAATGAAGCTGTGGAAGGGGCAGGGATGTGTCTGCAGTCAGGCCTCTGCTGCAGTGGGGGGGTGGGGGGAGGCTTGTCTCAGACTCCACTATAGCGATGGGGGGGAAGGAGGAGTCATTCAGCTCCCAGGGTCTGAGGATGCCGGAAAGGAGCCCTCTGCCCTCTGCCCTTCCTCTGCGCTCCTGTTCTTCCCATTTATCCCACAAATATTTATAGAGCGCCTACTCTGAGCCAGGCACCGTTCCAGATGCTGGGATCCGGTGGCAGGCACAGCCTGCAGTGTCCCTGGGGAGGAACAGGCACAGAAGGTCCAAAAGGCTGTTTCCCCGCAGCGCGTTGGGAGCCGTGAGGCCATCAGCCAGACTGGGTGCAGTGCAGAGACAAGTGGAGGCTGTGCAGAGGGCCAGGCTCCTAGGCTGTCGGTAGTGGAGGCATCGGCACAGCTTCTCCCTTGTCCCCAGGCTGACTTCCTGAGCTGTCCCCGCCCCCTCCCCCAGGGTCCCTGAGCTTCCAGTTAGCTTCCCTTTCTTTCTGTGTGCTGTCTGAGAACTTAGCTGCAAATCAGGAGAGCCTTGTAAGGGCCAAGGAGACCCACTCAGTGGGGACATGGCATGTTCCAGAACCTTCTGGAATTTTGGAACCCTGGTAGGTGCTCCTTCAAGTGAATCAACTTGAAAACATCTGGAAAATGATGTGTCTGAGAAGTCAGGGAAGGGATGGGAAGGAGATGGTCCTGGGCATCCTCTAGTTGGGATGCTGGCCGTGGGCCCCTACACCCCCATCTTTTGGTCTTCTAGAGCTTGATGTCCTGCAGGCCATACCACCCTGGTTGCTGCATGGGTTGGCAGTGGCTAGGTTGGGCCAGGGAGGCCCCTCTCTAGGCTTGGCATCCCTATCCCCCACCCCATGGGAACTATGAAAAGACCCCAAGTCTGCCTTAAGATAGACCTGGCCTAAATCATTCTATAAGGAGCGGGCTGTGTGACCTTGGGTCTGACCCTTGACCTCTCTGAGCCTTGGTTTCCACAGTCAAGTGATGGTGTTGCTTTGTGATGGCTGAGTCAGAGTGTGGCTCCCCCGCCTCCCAGCATGCCTTGCTGCTGTCTGTTGCTGTGAATGGCTGCCTCTGCCCCGAGTCTGTCCTGTCAGAATAAGTAGTAGGATGGCCAGGTAGTAAGGTAAGTTTGGGGACAGTCTCATGAGGAGCTGACCCCCAGGTTGCTGTGCTTCCTGGGTTATTATATGGTTATTATATCTTTTAAATGCTCCCATGGAGGTTCTAACCCCCATGCTGTCCTAGGTTGGAAAGAAGCCCAGAGAGGTTAAATAACTTGCCCATGGTCACTCAGCAGGTTCCTGCAAGGTAAACATTGGGTCTGGGCACCTACTCTGGAATCTGTCCCTCTTTCTACCCTGCCCTGCCCTCTGTCCCCTTTGTCCTTCTGCTGTGAAGGTGGCCATTTCTGGAGGGCCAGTGGCTCTTCACTTGTGTGTGTGCCCTCCTACCCCACAAAGCCACTGGCACTTCTTAGGGCAGAGGCTCAGAAAGCCCTTGTGGGAGGAGCCCTGCTGTCTCTGTCATTCCCCCCCCCCCACTTTTTCTGCCCGGCCAATAAAGTGGGACCCCCTGCCTCTACTCCCCCACATGGCCAGGTATTGCCTTTGGCTGACTCCCATCCTCCGCTCCCATTGGTGAGAAGGTGCCCGCCCTGAGACCACCTTGCCCTCTCCCAGGCACTGTGGGCAGCACGGACTAATGGAGCCTGCAATTGGGTACCTACTGTACCCCGGCCTGTTGCCAAGAGTCACCTGGCCGAGCTCCCAAGCCTGGTTGTCACCATGCTTCTCATCTGAGCACATCACAGGTCTGCAGAGCTCTGTCAGAGTGGCTGCACATCTGTCCCCTGCTTCCTGGCACGCGGCCATCACCAGCTTCCCGCTCTGCAGGGAGGCCCTGGCCATCACCGTTTGCCTTGGGCCCTCGGGATACCAGCTTAGGCTCTTTCTGGAAGGTGTCAGACAGTGCTGGCATCTTCTTCTTGGCAGCAGCTGGGCAGCTGGGCTGTGGGCCTCTCCGAACCCTGGACTGCCCCCCCTTCCAAGGGGATGTCTAGGTTTCCTTGCCGGTGTGGGAGCCTTCTGCTCAGAAGAATAAATTTTCCAGATGCCTTGTGCTAAACCTGGAGGAGATTGGAGCCTACTGAGAAAGAGGAAGTGGAGGCAAAAGGTCTTAAAAACTGAGCCTTCCCTGGAAGCAGGGTGGGGAAGAGGGCAGGGCTGAAGGCCAGGAGCGTTTGTAAGGCTGCAGGCCTCGCGTCTGTGCAGCTCTTTTAGGACCTTGCCCTGGAGAGGTTCGGACTGCAGGGAGAGTCCCTGGCAGACCTGGCGATGGTAACTCGGGTTGTGTCTTCATGGCCGTGGAGGAGCCCACATCCTGGGCTCAGGTCCCTTTGTCCCTCACATCTGTGTCCAGGCAGAATGTGGAGAAGGACAAGACGTCTGTCCTTAGAGAAGAGCATTTTGGAATCTGTTTCCTGTTTCCTACGTTACCTGTGTAGGACACACATGGGGTGGTATGAAGGAGCCTCTACTCTGCCACGTGACTGTTACTCAGTTTCCCCATCTGTCACAGCTGTCCAGGACAGTCCTGGGTTAAGGAAGGTGAGGCCATGGGTTGTGGTGTGTGGGCGCCCTGCTGTGGGGTTAAGGATGGTAGCCTGACCTCTGAAGGGTTGGGTTTGAAGTTCACTGCACATGGCTCAGTAGGCAAAGATGTTTGCTGTGCAAGCCGTGGAACCTGAGTTCAGTCCCTGGGACCCTAATGCTTGTAAAATGGGAGAGAAGTCTCTGCATCCATAGAGTTGTCCTCCAGGCTCCCATATCCACACACACACACACACACACACACACACACACACACACACACACACAAAATTGATTTAAATTTGCCGTACAGTG